CACAAAACCTTACATGACAATCTGTAGCACTTCCCTTAGGATCTGGTACCCCTGAGCACTGAAGAGCGTAAATCATTTTTGTGTGTTAGTGCCATACAGGCCTCCCAAATCGAATTGTAAAGCATTTGCAGTTATCAGTAATGTGAGAGTTGCAGGTGGTTGCTGTTATCACCACTCTAAAGATAAAGACCACTGTCACACAGAGAGGTTAAGTCATTTGCTTGAGGTCACACAGCAGAACTAGGAAGAAAAAGGTCCTGGATCTCCCAGCACTCTGCCTATAGATGACAGTGAGAAACTGTCACTGAGCAGGGATGTTATGCTCCAAGTTGAGCAGAATTAGTAGAAGACAACTTTGTAGTTCTGAAAGACCTGCAGAGGCATTATACATCCAACATAGGTCAGGCTGCAGTTTTGAACTTTTCCACATAGCTTCTTAGTTGTTTTAAATTGTTTTGCAGTTTTAAATCTGGAAACTCCATTTGTACTTGGATGCAAAAGTATGCCAAGAATTATGGTTTATTGTAGCATAGGAAGAATATTGGAGGTTTCAGCTGGCACAAAAGGAAGAACTGCGAAGTGTTAACAGCAGGACTAGGGTACAAGATAAGCAGCGCTGCCGATTGTTATTCCCGTTCTGAAGCCTCCTTGTCTCAGCACATGCATCTTGTGCATTTGCAGTAGCCCTGCACTGCAGGACAGTAGATCTAGACTTTTCGGGTCACTGTTAGCTGTTAACTTGCCAGTCCTTTTCACAGCATGTGTGTTTTGTTATGGGAGAGAGGCAAGATTGTTTCTGCCAGCCTTGTGCAGTCCCTCACTCTCAAAAGACCATGAAAACAGGGAGTATGTGCCAGCAGCCTGATGCCGTGGCCCTTCTTCTCTCACGTTAATACATGTGAAAAAAGCCCCTGTCACCTGATCTAGCTTGGAATATCTTGGGCTAGAACTCACAAAGCAGAAAAGAGGGCATATGGACAGTAAAGGCCTAAAAGAAAACAAACCAGATATTCCAGTTCATGGAATGGAACAGAAGCAGATTGGCTTGTCTCCTGGCTGAGAGTTAGAGGTATGATCTGAAAAAACCCTCCAAGGGCCAGTTCCTCACATCTCCATAGGAATACTTACTGTTCATTCATTATCTTACTTCCTGATGAGGAACTGTTAGATAAAAGGCAACCAGCTGCCTTTTGAGTGCATATTCTTGTAGTCTTTGTGTAATAATAGTTGCAGAAAATTCTTGTCACGCATTAATAAGAGGCCTTCAAAGGTGTCTGACTGGAAGGGATGAACGAGGCTTCAACACAGCTACAGTAAAGCAAGAAGAACGAAAACTACAGTATTACAAGGGTTAAAGTGGAGGAGTAGTCCAGGATCTAATTTCAGTTGGAACTGAAACATAAGGACTGAGATAGAGATCTTTTGAATATCCTCCTTGGCACCCGTCTGAACCTACACACTAGATAATGTTGTTTTTAAATACATGCGGCAGGACCGGATAGTCATGGCCAGGAGCCAAATACTGTTCTTGGAGGTGACTGAAAAGCACGTATACGGTGTCTGTCATGACAAGACCAAACCCCACGCTTGCCATGGTTCCGCTCACGTCAGCTGTTCGGATGTAGCGCGTACCCTCACCAGCACCGCTAAACCAGCTGGGGGCAAGCGTGCAGTTAGTTTCGGCTCCTGTGCTCGCAGCTGCGTGAAGGGCCGTCCTGGGGCTGCAGTCCATGCTTCGTCAGGCTGCAGACACTGGGCAGGGCAGAGCTCGAGCACCCACGGGAAACTCAGGTACCTGGTACCTGCTGCTTCGTTTAAGGAGCTCGTTATGAACAAGTACACTCGTTTGGTCAGACCAAGGTGGTGGATTCAGCTGTTGCCCTTTGCTGCCAGCTTTTGGCAATATGTACTAAGGAATGGAAAGTAGTCTGGCGTTCATAGCTGAGTAAACGCTTTCACGTTTTGTTTTAGGTGTATATGCACGGAGATAACTACGTGCAGAGCCTGAGCGAACACTTCCCAGTCAGCATTCTCCCGCAGGAGTACGGGGGGGAGGAAGTCTCCATGGAGGAGCTGGCCAAGGAGTGGACCGACTTTATAATGGCATCTGCAGAATATCTTCATAGCATTTCTCTGGTCGCCCAGGAATAGCCTTATTACAGCATTGTACCCGTTCTCGACCACTGGAAGGGAAATATGTTTAATACGAAATATTTCATGTAAACTTGAAATTATTGTAAATGAAACCAGTATGTCACTGCAGGGCACTGAATATTGTATTGACTGCACTTTTATACTAACTGGAGTCTATTAGTATGTACGTCTGAAGAGATTAATGAATTCTATATATTCTCAATACTGTTTGTAATTGATTAACTTGTATGTCGGCAAGCTGAATAGTGCGTTGGATATCAGAGATTGATACTGCTCCTGTCACGTCTTTGGGGACAACTCGTCTGCAATAATGCAGTCCAGGACCTTATGCTTAGCTCTTGTCTTGGCTTGTCAAGATAATAGGATACAAAAAAGAACAGAACGTGAACAGGGTAGACCAGTTTCTTGCAGAAGGGCTAATTTACAAGGACTGAAAAGAGGCTGCTTTTTGGATTGATTCTCAGGGAAAAAAGCTGTTTTGTTAGTTTGTGTCAAATTGGAAATTAGTCAGCAATAGTGAGACATTTGTGTTAATCTTTGTGCTGCTTCCCTTTTTTTGCTAATTAACAGAGTAATCTTCGAGTTTTATAGAGGAAGGTAGGGAAAACTCCATGTACCTGTTCTTCAAAGGACAGTGTGAATCAGGAGGAGGAACTGGTGAGAGAGTCAACACAACCTTGAAAATTCTGATTTTCTTTCGTCAAAAGAGATACTGTCTATGGACAAGCTATAACCAACTTGGACTGTGATCCCCTTTAATTCCTACTGTTGAGCACTGCAGAGGTCGAGAGCTCTTAGCTGTTTGCAGTATCTGTTTGTTTTGGAGGGTGAAGTAGATTATTCTGCGTGGATCTGAACTTCAGAAGTACCTGTTGTGTGGTTTAAGGGTGCTCGTAGGTCACTGTGGACTCAGTGTAGGAGATGCTGGGTATCTTCATTTTATTTTCAGAGAAGTAATTGGCAGCTCACCAGTCTGTGTCTTCTATTGGGCACTGGAAGAAATTATTTTTAATTTCTGTTGAGCCCTCTTTATTTCTGCAGGGATAATGAAAAAAACCACCTTGTCTATACTTACTGAAAACAGATTTTTTTTAAGGGACATTATTCATGTAGGAACGCTGCATGTGTAAAAGCTATCGCTCACATTACGTAGCAGTATCATCCTGCAATCCCCAGTACTTAAAACTTTGTTTCACTCAGTGTTTTGTTGAAATCTCCGTTAGTACCCCAACTGCAAGAGTTCAGTTACCCAGTTTTTAACTCTGTTTTGTAATAGGCCAGGCGGTTTTTGCATAAGCACTGTATATTTAAGCATTCCATATGAATCTTCAGTAAATGAATCCACCACAAATGCTTTGTTTCTCAGGTAGCTAGAAATGCTCACTTCAGTTATTTTGGAATCTTTAGGACATTGGGATGTTATATTAATATATGCTTCAGGGAGAGACATGAGACTATACTATTAATCAGAAATGTCTTATTTTAGATTATCATTAATACTGCATTATTGCAAAAGCCGTTGGAAGCTATTCTTTATTAGCCAGAGGAACATCTGTGAAGGGCCCATGGAGTACTTGTTGGTTGTAGTTTCTTCTGCTGTGGTAAGGTCAATGCCAGATACTAAATTCTTTCAAAACCGACCAGGACTTTTAAATTTTTTTTTTTCTTCCAGTTCTGTCATTTCCTCAAGTGCACTTTTCGTTCTTCTCTTTCAGGGTATCTTTGATATGAAGCCTAAATTTAAAGAAACATTTTTCAGAACATTTTCATATATTCATATATTTAATCTTTTTCTCAGATGGAACTATTTTGTAATATAAAAGCTCCTTAAATAGAGGAGTCCAGTGTGAAGTGCTAATTCTTCTTTCTAAGAAAATAAGTAGTCAGGCATCTGGCAATTCTTCAAGTGTCTAATTCAAGTTCCAAATCATTTACAAACTGCAGAACTGAAGCTATTGTCTTAATTTGATGCTCCTTCAATTTTTATCCTTGAATGTAAACTGCATAAGGGAATGAACCGTGTTTCAGTGAACAGGAAAATCTAAACTTCCTATGAAACCGATCTCTAATCGTTGCTGGTTTATGCAGCAGAGACTTCATTTGATTGCACATGCATATGGACATGGACAAAATTAGCGGTGTATCTCATCTTCATGTGGACTACACTGACTGTGCATAGGAAGTCCTAAATGTCTTCAAAAATATCCTGGATCTGTTACGAAATACTAATGTCTTTGCATAACACAACGGTTAGAGCACCGAGTGCGGTTATTTTTTCATGAACTGTTAATTACTTTTTGATGTTTACACGTGCGATGGAGGGTAGGAACTTGGTGTAAGGTACAATTGTGGTTGCTGCTAACGAGGAGGTAATTAGGACGTTGGCATAACGAACGGCAGAGGCTGTGGTACAGCAGCTGCAGAGCCAACGGAATGGTACAAATCTCTCCGTGCTTTATTCTTCGGGAATATCAAGTGCTTCTAAAAAAAGAAAGTCGCTGTTAAGTGATGGCGCAAATACTACTGACTGTAAGCACAATGTCATGCACCGTGGGTTTTTAGTTTTCATACGTATTAACACAATAAACCATTTCTAGTTGAACCAGCCTCCTCTCGCTTTTTTTAGTGGTGCAACCGGTTATTTTTCCGCAGGGGCCTCAGCAGGACGGCGGCCATCTTCTCCCACCGGCGGAACCGAGGGCCC